CAGTTTTCTTTTTTCTTTTTTTGGTACATTCAAATGGGAGGACAAAAGGAAGGAAAAGAATAACTAAAAACAACAAGGAGAGTTAACACAACGGGAAGGATGTTTGCTCGTCCAATAATTCTCAAAAAGGGTTATGATCAGATATGTACGGTTCGAAGTTTCAACAAATTAGGGACCCCCAAGTCGAAAATAAAAGAATTGCAGAAAGTAAGGAAGTTACGTCAGTATATATAAAAAAACGTAGGGCATATTTTCATACCCCTTCACATTCTACATAAATGATGATGTACATGCGTAGTTGTCGCCCATTTTGTATAAGTATCACTTTTTCCCTTGACCGGACGCAGTACCTTTCGTTTGTTAAAAATTTCCAACGTAGGGGATTTTCCTTCCAACCCGATGGCGCGACTAAACGGGGTGGGCACATCACAGCAATCTACATCCTACGTATGCAAAAAAAAACAAAAAAAAACAAAAATAGCAACAAGGCAACAAGGGGACTGAATTTAGTCACTCCGCAATTTTCCTTCCATTCGGTTTAAGCGCAAGTTGAGGAAAAAAAAAAAAACTTTTAAAAAAATTTGTAAACGAAAAATGAACAGGAAAAAATTAAACTATTTGAAAAAGAAAAGAAAAAAATTAAGGGGAAGCCATCTTCTGAGCGAAGCGGAATATCTCCCCGCGTTCGATATTTTCCGCTTTAATGGTGCGGTCTCAGCGTGGACGTTTATTTTTGCATATCCCGTTTGGCACCCATTCGTACGTTTGGTTTGTGCCCACTTTTTGTTTCATCCGGGTGGGTGTAGAACGGAACGATTTGAAGACTCCACTGTCTTGTGCCGTTAGTAGGTCAACCGCTGTATCACGTCATCCAGAATGGCGAGCTTTCCAACATGCTTCTCCTCCTCATCTGGATCGTACTGCTTGGCGAATTTAAGGCTGCGAAACTTGACAATTTTTTTCGGTGTGGACTTATGTATTTTGTAACCGACGTCGAAAAAGGAATTTTTCTTGATTCGACTTGGATTACCTTGCAACGGGGCGAGTTCCTCTCTTATTTCGGATGTGACCCTTGCCTCATGATGCACCTGCGGTAAATCATCCTCTTCCGTTGTGTCTGTCGTGGTGTTTTTTATTTCCCGTGGGTGTATCCCGTCCGTGTTTTTTTGGTGTAACATTTCCTTCGCCCGTACGCACAGATCCTCCGTCGCCTTTGCACGTAAAGCCTTCATGGTGTTTGAGCGCAGATGGGCCATCTCTTGTGATTGGGATGTGTCCGTTTCTTTTGATGACAAATCCTCCATCCCCCTTGTGTGCAATTCCTTGGTCTCTTTTGATGGCATTTGGCTCGCCTTCTTTGGTGGTAAATTCAGTTTCTCCTTTCGGGGCACGTCCCCCTTAGCCTTTTGCCTGATCTGCCTGAGTTGGTCCCCCGGATTAGGCTTCTTCTCCTTCAGCAGTTCGGCCACCTTCCCACATTTCGCTTGAATATTTTGCCCATTCTTCGTTGTGGGCCTTTTCGCGTGGAGGCCCTTCATGGCGAGAGGTGACACAGGCGAGTTCTTTTGTGAAGTTTCCCCCTGTTTCTTCTTCTTTGCCAACCTGATCGGCGGGTGCACATCGTTGATGTTGGTGACATTCCTAGGGTTATGTCCCCGTCGAATCGTCTTCAACCGCAAGGCCGTGTTTTTCCTTTGGTAATTCTCCTTCTGAAATAGGGACAAAATATATTTGTCAAACAAGTTCTCCTGTTCCCGACAAGGATGTCTCTGATTCTCCCTATGTATCTGCATCATTTTATAAATTGATATTTTCCTGAGAATAAACATTTGTGTGTTTTTCATGAACTTGTACAAAGAGTAGGAAATAATTTGAAGACTATAAATAACTTTCAATCCTTTTCTTTTCCCAATCAGTTCTGACTTCCCATTTATTTTCCCATTCCTCTCCACATCATTTATATTGATATAATTATATGCCAACTTTCTTTTCCTGCTTAAGTAGCTACTTGCCCATATCTGCATGATCAAATTTTCTATATAATCTCCATGTCGGTATGGGAGGAAGAATTCGCAAAACCAGTTTATCTCATCTGAGAAGAATTTTAAATAATTTTTGTACTTGATATTTTTCCAGTAGAATTTGATGTAAGGTTTTTCATGCATGGAGATTTCGTTTTCCTTCCGGTCGTACACGTCGTGTATGACGAAGTGCAGGATGAGCAGTTCGTTCGTGGGGTTCTGCATGATGGGGTAGGACACACGGGTAAGGGGCAATCGCAACATGAGTAAAGGTTGGGAGAGGCGTACACACGTGTGTCATAGGTGTCACGCGCCTCTCAGCAGCGCGGATTGGTCGGTGCACGGGCATTTACATTTATAGCAAACCCTCCGTTCTGGTGTTCCTCACAACATGGAGAAAGTTTGCCCCTCTCCAAAGTTGTGGCAAAATTCGAGGCGTGAGAAAAGTATTTTAAAAGAGGCCCACGTTAAGAGTTGCCCTCTTTTACGCATGGGTGTAAAAACAGGAGAAAAAAAGTTGTCTAAGTTGAAAAAAAGACATGTCTGTTCTTTCGGAAAAGTTTATTCATTCGTTCGATTGGTCAATCGTTCATTCGCTTATACATTTGTTCATTCGCTCATTCGTGCACTCATCTGTTTGCTTATTTTTTTCCCCAAATGGCGAAGTCAACACAGCAGTGCCGTCGCCGCTTGGACCAGCTCTCTTTTTTGCAACTAGGTAGCCGTGCCCATTTCGTAGCCGCACACCCGTTGCCACTTGAGCTGGGGCTTAACTCACAGCCTTTTTTCGCGTAACCCATGAGCAGATAGACTTGAAAGCAGGTGAGTAAATTACCTCCATCACGAGATACTATTATGAGATGATCAGATGGACCCAACTGACGAGGGAGAAAAACGCACCAACGTGGTCAACTTTGTGAGCGAGACGGAAAAAAAAAAAAAAAAAACGGCTCAGTGATGCTGTTGAACCTGGGCCTAAAAAATAGACCTACTTCACATTTGGTCCAGTCGAGTGAAAAAAAAAGAAAAGACCAAATGGAACAGAACAAACTTAGCCTGATAAACACATGCATGTCGAACAACACGCGTTAATTATGAATTTTTTTTTTCTTTTTTTTTTTTTTTTTTTTTTTTGCCCGCCTGCGCACTTCCCACGGTATGCGCTCAACGCAGAAGAAAAAAGACCTACAACGTGGGGCGAAGCTATTATGCACAAAATGCAGACCAGTTATGGAACTGCGAAATGTACCTCCCCAGTGACGGTAGAAAAAATTGCTATATTTTTAATTCTCAATAAATTGGAAGTTGCCAATTTGAAGTGAAGGACTGGTGATCATGAAGGGGGTTAAAAAAAAAAAGGTAAATTAACCCCAAAATGGGACAAAGAAAAAGGCAAGTTAGCCCCAAAATATGACAAAAAAAGTCAAATTACGACCAACGTGAGGGAGAAAAAAAAGTACAATTAGAACCCTAGGTGGGCCAAAAAATTAACCTATCGAGGCTGTCCACTTGGGTTCCCCTTGCATATACACCTATATCTGCACAGCATGCATTCCCCTTCAGCACGTTAGCATTGTCGCACTAGGCTCAGAAGAAGGAGAAGAAGTCATGTTTGTTCTTCTTGCTCTTCTTACTCTTCTTATTTTTCTGCACGAGTTTGTTCACATTTTGTCCCAAATTGCCATTCTTATTTTTGAGGATGTGGTCGAAGTCGAAAACGCGATCGAGGTCGAATTTTTGCGAAGCCATGAAAACAATTTTCTGGTCGTGATATCTGTTGATGTAGCTGCTCACGTTTTGCAATAGGTGGTCGTAAGTGAGTGGGTTGGCCCCACGTGGAGCCCCCTGTGACGCCTCGCTTGCCCCCAAAACGTGTATCATCGCCGTGACGAGTGCCCCCCCGGGGGCATGTCTTCCTGTGTCAATTTCGTGAGAGAACTCCATATCTTTGCAGCCACTGAATTGGCTAACATCGCACATCACGTGGAAGGGGTTTTTCACCTCCTTCCATTTCCTCGACTTTAGTTTATACTTATAAGCCAGATCGATACAACTACCCGCATTGCAGCAATCCATCACCGCAATCAATTTAACTCCATCGTTCAGAGGTTGAACCAAGAACCTGTGCAACTCATCATCGATAATTTGTCCCTCCGTTTTATGGTCACAAGGAAGGATGGTTTCATTATATCCATCATCTTCCAAGTATGTGTAGTCCTTTTGTTGGGATCCATGTCCAGAGTATAGAAAGAAGAAAACATCTCCAGGCTCATTATCCCTTGTGAGCCAAGTCAAGGCGGATAAAATATTTTTTTTGGTAGGCCTATAATTAGGGTTGCTCTCGTTGTCGATTAATCTAACCATGCTTGTCGGAGAATCGTGAAAATTATATTTTGAAATTAGCAGGTTCATCATTCGGACTGTGTCGTTTGTACAGCCACTTAATTCTTCCCTGGAACCGTAATAGTTTATTCCAATGAGCAGTGCCTTTTTTTTGTTTCCAGAGGTGCGCTGCAGGATTCTGTCTGAGTAGAGCGACGCTGCACCGACGTTATGCATGCCGATTTGGTGTAGAACTTGGTTTCTGTGGTTTGCCCCTCCGTAAAAATCATCTACCATGCGGGGGTTACACAAACCATATTTCTCGCCAGGGTTATTTATGCTCGTGTTCATTTTTATAACCTCATGCTGTGAACAGTGATTGGCCAAAACCGCCCCAGTATTCAATTGACTAGGCACAGAAGCGGGGATTTTACCGCTTGCAGTGGTTAATTCCTTTTGGTGAACCACTGGAGTGTAATGGTAGTGACTATTCGTCATACCCGTCGCGGGGGTCATGGGAACATAGGCGGTTGCTGCATACGCATAGGAATCTGCCCCAGTGGGGGGGTGCATGCTGTCCTTTCGAGGGTCATCCCTTTGAACGTACTGATTTGTGGAAGGTGCACTGTGTCCTGGCCGCTGATTCGTGAAAGGTGCATTCGGTCCTTCCCACTGATTCGTGGAAGGGGCACCCGGTGCTGCCCAGTGATTCCCATGTGTGGGCACCCTTTGGGGAGGTAAATTAATGCTGCGCGCGTATTCACTTCGGAACACTCGAAGTACTTCCGATTCAGTTCGATGCATCGAAATGGCATCTTTTATCTCTTTATCCGTCTTATGGAGATATATTTCTTTAACGTTAAAAAAAGTTACATCCATTTGGTCCCGTACGATATTTACAGATAACTCCAAAGTGCAGCTCTTTAATATGTCAATTAGTTTCACCTTTTGCTTGACTGTTTTTTCCTTTTTTATGAAATCTAATGTAAAAAAAGTATAGGCAACTTTTGTATTAAATAATGAGCTAAGCCACACTTCGATCGACAGGATTTCGTTTTTTTCATCGGCTACGTGCTCTACTGGTATGAGGAAAACTTCGTTGAAAAAATAGTACCCATCTTCCTGTATTGCCGTTTTGTACTTTTTGTTCTTCCAATACACTTTTATGTAGTATTTTCCTGTCTCGTCTTCCTTTAGCCCTGTCAGTTCGAACACCTTCAGGTAGATCTTCTCCATCACGATGATTGGCGGCTAATGTCAGGAGGTGCGTCGGGTTGACTTGAAAAAATAAAAAAAAAAAAAAAAAACCAAGTTACTCTTCGAATGGAAAATTACTCATTGATAGCAGAACCCCAGACATGTGCTACTGATGTGAGCATGCAAATATATGTTGCCAAATCGCCGCTTCCTGCACGTTTCTGTCAATTAACCAAGTTTATTTCGCGCTTTTCCGAAAAAATTACGTACGCTTGTAGGATAACACTGTGTTGTGTTACCTGGCGAGTTGCAAAAAAAGGGGTAAATAATAAGAATGTGGAACCATGTGGAAAAAAAAAAATTCCAAAATTGACCAAAAAAAAAGAAAAAGTGGAAAATTGGATAAGAAAAAAAAATGTGGAAAAAGGGCAAAACAGAAATGGGAACAAAACAGAGCGAAAAGAAGCAGTATGAAAAAAAAAAAAAATATTCCCCCTGATAAGGCAAAAAAAAAAAACATTTGCATGGTGAGCATACGTAGCTGTCCTTCCCGGGAACAAACAACAAATTGACAATTGAAGAATAGAAATAGGACGTAAGCAGTTTCATGGAAAAAGGGAAAAAACGTCCAACTACCCAAGGGAAAAAAACACAACAAACACAACAGATGGTATATACCGCCAAAAACAGACACAGGTTAAAAGTATACTTTGCTGCGTGCGTCAAGTGAAATAGGCCTTCTTGAGGGTGAAAAAAAAAAAGAGCAAACCGGTAAAGAGGCAAACGAGCGAACGGTGCCTTTTCCATCTTTTCTCAGCCATGCCACTACGTATTTTTTAAAACACCAGACTTGCAATTTTACACACTCTGAATGGACAATTATTCTCACTCTTTTTACACGTCATCGGGGTGGTAAGAAAAGGAAAGAAATTAACGAGAACAGGGAACGGTATTGGCAAAGTAGAGGGGAATTCTACACGTATGAAAAAAAAAAAAATAAAAAATACATTTTTTTCGTCCTTTTTTTTGGTGCTTCTGCTCGTAAAAAATATGCTTGTACCTTTGGGGAATTTCCAACAGAAGAAATTGGCAAATC